ACCCAGAAGGATAAGCGGCTTAGAAGATGTGTGTGTATGTGTGTGTGTGTATGTGTGTGTGTGTGTGTGTGTGTGTGTGTGTGTGTGTATGTGTGTGTGTGTGTGTGTGTGTGTGTGTGTGTGTGTGTGTGTGTGTTTCAGCAGTATTAGCCTATATTTCATCAGCAACATTATTCAGGTTATTTCTAAGCTCTCCCTGAGGTTATTCTTGTTAACAGCTTTCTCTCACCAAACAAGTACGTAAACTCGCTCTAATGACTTAAACGGATTTTAATTCAAATTTGAAACACCCAAACTGCAGACTTACATTGCCAAAACTAATTGAATAGTGTGCAAAAATTCCCCTTTTGCCCAGACGGGGAATCAAACCTTTCCTCAAACGCGCAGGGCAGCGGTGTTGTCCACTACGCTGTATCAACTAGCACTAGTAGCTAGTTCTGTAGTGTGCTGTAGTGTTATGATTTAGTAGGCGGAGTTAGTGCTACTTTCACTTAGAGTAAATAGACACAGCCTTAAATGAAGCTGAATACTAATGATCTGATAACTCCGTTAACCTTACTCACTTAATCACATCAAACTTATTGTTTAGCTTGAATACAGTGTGTTTATGAAGGGTTTATTAGCTGATACCAAACAAGATAAATTCATTGTAGCCTTTAGTCTTTCTGTGATTAGAAACTCTGACCAAAAGAGTTCAGACGTCTCCTGGTTCTTCAGTATGAGAACATGCTAAAAGAACAGCTAATTTTCTTATCAAACAGAAATTTGTTGTGCAAAAGTTTCAGCCAGAACAAAGTTTATCACCCCAGCAATTCCATATCGGAATTCCCAGTTTTCTGTCAATGGGAAGAGAATCCCATGGTCCCTCAAAGTGTCTGTGCCAGAGTACACTGCAGAGTGAACAGCTGTGAGGAGTGCAGAAGTATGCTTTTACTCTTAATCCGGTCGCTCCCTTCTCAGTGACATCCAGGCTGTTTTAATTCTTTTCCTCATCACAGAGACCTTCAGCAGAAATCTCCCGTAAAGGTGACGGCTGGCTCTGTCACTCAGCAGAGGGATTTCAAAATGTCAGCCAATACCAGAGATCTGGCCCAGTTACGTTTGTGCAGTAGATGATTCACTTCATAAGACCATCATTAGAAGGAGAACTTGATTAAATTTTCTCTCCATCCATATTTTCATATTTTCGTTTTTCAGTTTTTGACATAATTTAAAAATACCTGTTGGCCTTTACGCTGTATCAAAATTTCATGATGAACGGACCAAAAGAAACGGCCCAGAATGACTTGGAAAAATGTCTGGTTCCATTGACCTACATTAAAAGCAAAGTATGTTTTTTCCTTCTCCTGTAAAGTTGTCGTTTTGGAGATACAAGGTTTTGTTCTGACAACCGCGATATGTATCACTGAATAAAAAACACAATACAATCATGCAGGCAGTAGAAAACAGCACTGGACTAGGAGCCAGCCTTGACCTTGGGCCAGTTTTCAAAAAAGCAGCAGTATCTGAAATTCACCACTGGACAGTTGAGGTCACTTCATTCTTTCCAAATAGTCTGACTTTGTTGATATTTAAACCATATATGGAATATTCTACACTCTTCACACAAAGCCGGATGTTAAATGATTGTTTTATTGTGTTATTAAAGATAACCTCAGTACTTTAGTGCTGGTAGGTGTTTTTAACAGGTGTCTTCAGTGAACGTCTGCCAGCGTCTGCAGAGCTGTGAATGAAGGAAAGCCCCCTGATCAGGTGAGAAACATGGATCTAGCAAAGTTTTACATTAATCAAAACCAGAGGCAACGTAGTTCTGAACCCTGATCACTTGGTTGGATTTCAAAGAAGCTACAAGACCATAAAATGGTGGCACAGCTTACTTTAAATACGCAGCCAACGAGATCAAAACACTGATGCTTTTTGTAATGAGACTCAAGCTGGCCTCCAGTCTAGCTCTGTCACATCAACACTCAGCTCATTAATGTTTTTAATCATTAATGCATCATTGGCCTCCTCTCTCAGCGAGCGTCCGCTTATAAGATGAATACAAATCCTGGAAGACGCACAGTGCTGGTGAACGGTAGCATTTGGAGAGGAAAGGACGTGGCTTTGTTTTACCAACGAGGATCATTGATCATCATTATAATTAGAAAATGTCAGCCCACCTTTCTGCCTGATCAGCCCCTGATTGAAAATTGCTTGGCTGTGGTGAGTTAATTGAATTAGTTCCAGTGTTTGTGTGGGTGAACATGCAGGAGCGCCTGGAAAACCGAGAATATTAGAGTTCTCTCATTGAGTCCGGTAATCAGCACATTCAAGTGCGTACTTATTTATAAAAATCATCTTTTTATTCTAAAAACTGTTCAAACTGGTCTCAACAACTTAAGCAGATGGACATACAGACTGACCACCCGCAGGTCTTGATCATCTATTAACCATGATCTGCACATCTTTGGTCAAAGTTGACAATAATCCTATAGTCCTCACTTTCATCTGATCATCGCTGTGCATTTGAATAGTGTATGCTTATATATGGGGGTCATTCTACAGAAGTGTCCATTTTTGTGTCCCTAGCGTTTACAGATATATTACACTTGAAAAAAACATGTTAGGGTTACTTTTTTTTACATTTTTAAATAAAATGTTATTTTAACAGTTACACCTTCTTGATCCATCAATTCAGCAGTATTGTTTTTTAAATCAATTATATTGAATTCCAAGCACCACAGAAGAGCTCGTCCTCACAGTCATGTGAAGGCTGAGGCCATATTTTGAAGAAAAAAACAGGTTTTTCTGCAATTTAAACTATAATAATCTATACATGACTATGGAATATATGAATTAAATTACATAAATGCCAAATAAATATTATAAAATATATAATGAACGTTGTTGTCCCCAGGAGTTGTGTCATTGGTGTTACTGCGTAACAAAAAATCTCTTATTTTGAAATAAAAGTCACACTGATGACATCACTCAACTTCCTTTTACCTGTTTTCTGAGGCTCTATGAAGAAAAGCCCATGGTGAGTCCACTGTGTCTTTCAGTTATCATAGATTTTCTTATTTAGCTCATGATTCCATATGAAGCTCTTAGCTGAAGTCACTGGTGTGGCCGACTTTATTCTGAGGTAACTGTGAAAAAATAGAATATAAATGGATTAAATTCCATATTTTAGTGGATATTCCATGATTGACGACATGTGGTTTGATGCTCTGTAACAGTTATTTTGTTAAATGCATTGTTCATTAAAAATGTCTCTGGTGTTCTTTCTTATGTGTAACACCAGTGAGGATCAGTGACTCCTATGGACAGATAGAAAAGTGGACCTTTCTCTTGAATGACCCAGATGTAACTATATAACTGTATTTTTTGAAGTGTGTTTAACCGACTAAGTTACGAGTTAAGAATCTCGAAAATGTTATTAAATTATTCTAAGAGGAAAAACAGCAGAGCCCCTAAAACATTTTCACCTGAAATTCCCATCTGAGATTCTTCTTCCAAACGTTTGTCAGCATAAATAACTCACTGACCAGTTTTTACATAGTGTATCGACAATCTCCATAGAAGGTTCCAGCTTGCCAGATAGGATAGCAAATGTAAGATTATCCACAACATTATTACAATATATTTTTAACACTAATTTTGTAATCATGAAATAATTATAGATGGCAAATCATGCTTTCTCTACTTATTGAGCCACCAAAAACAGTTTAGGGTAAGTTAAACCCAGGCTAATTGAGTTAAATCACCTAGTAAATTTATTACAAAGTTCATTTTGTTAACCCTCTACTGCAACAAAAAAAAGATTCACTTTTCTTGCATAAAATTGACCTGATTATGAAATATTAATTTTGGGGTATGTTGCCTTGAGACAACATTGTGCAACAATGGGAAGAAATGATATAGAGCTGTGTGACTGGTCAAATCCATTCCACAATGTTGCCTCTAAGCAACAAACATATTTCTGCAAATACTCATAACAAAAAAAAAAGATTATCGAATGTTAAAAAAGAGGTTTTAAAGTGCCCAATAAGAGATCTTATGATCAAGAACATGCCTTTTATTGACATACTCAAACTGTACCCTTTATTGTTAACCCTGTCATTATCTTTAAATATGGACAATGTTATTGTAAAGTGAGGAAAATGAGTTTGTTGCCCTGAGGCAACATTGAGCAATAGAGGGTTAAGTGCAAAATTTGAGTTGGACAAGCTTGTGCCGTTCTTACTCGGACATAAAATTATATTAAATCTCTGCCCCTGCTTTGAACATCAACAAAACAGCTCCATCATAAAAGCCCTCAGTGTATTATTCCCTCAAGTGGTGGACCTATAATACAAAGAACGCAACACTAGAGTGGAGTGAACACAGGGAGGCTTTAAAAACAGATGGTTTGACACTTTTAATATTTACAGCTGCTAAAGACAAGTAAGCATTTGGCAACTAGACTGTTCACTGTGGACCCTTTCAAAGATTTGCAGTCTTGTAAAATCCAGAACTGCTGGTGCTGATTTTAACAATTTCTAGCACACAAGCTACTTTACTTAACTGGACATGCTCAGCACAGTGTATTATAAACATCACTTCCAGAAATGACCTCTAAACTGGGGTGCTCTCAAAACTACAGGCCAGCCTTTTTTGTTGTTGCCTTTAAAAAAAAAAAAAAAAAAAAAAATAATAATAATACAAACATGATTTGAGCAGTATTACACTGAACCTGAAGGTTCTGACAAGAAACAACGTCGGCTTATGAATCTGAATCTTCAGGTATGCTTTAAAAAGACAAGACAAAACAAAAAAGGAAAGAGAGACAGAAAAAGAGAACCACATTAAAACACTACTATCCAAGAGTCCCTTTCTCTTATATCCCTTATACAAGTGCTCCTACTGCTGGCCTGAGCAGGGAAATGCAGGTTCAGCGTTCAGGGAAAAGGATTTCTTTTCTTCCATCTCTGAAATCAGTAGATGACATGCTTGACAGTGTTGACACACATGCTGACCTAAAGGCCAAAACGTGCAGGAGTCCGCTTTGGAGTCATGGGCACATCTTCCCTTCTGCCCGGAGTGCAGATCTTTATTGACCTGTAAAGAAAAAATGAGGAGAGAAAAAACTGTTTGGTCAAACTGGCAAAACTGGCTCATATTATTCGGTATGATGAACTATGAATTTGTAAGCCCATCAAAATGGAACCAATGGTATCATAGTACCAATGAACACAGCATAGAGAGACTTTGAATTATAAATGTTGGCGTTTCCCCACAGACATGTCCCCTTAACTGAACGAACCCAAATTGCTCATAATCTTCTACTGATAAGACATCAAAAGAACAGCAGTCTATTCTTATCATTCAACGAAAATACAATTCATTCAGTTTAGCTTAACCTGAGAAGGGCCACCATCTTCTAACTTACATTTCAGGTTCTATGTCTCAGTTTAACTTTAATACTGCTTCTGTTCTGTATCTTCTGCAAAAACTAGAATCTAAACTGTAGTCAAACAGTAACTGTGCTGGGTTGAACTCAGACTGATATCTACACCGATCAGGCATAACATTATGACGCCATTGCAATCCCATGAGTCAAAGAAACAGACACGAAACTTCAAAAGAAGAGTTTTGACCCCTAAAACCTCCCAGAAACACTCTTAGTAGAAGTTATTACTATTATTTTTATAATAATAATTTATTAATAGTAGTAGTAATTATTATTATTATTATTATTATTATTATTGTCAGTGTACTACTATATTAATATAGTATACAACGATCAGGCAGAACATTCTGACCACCCCCTTGTTTCTACACTCATTGTCCATTTTATCAGCTCCACTTACTATATAGGTGCACTTTGTAGTTCTACAGTTACAGACTGTAGTCCATCTGTTTCTCTGATACTTTGTTAGCCCCCTTTTACCCTGTTCTTCAGTGGTCAGGACCCCCATGGACCCTCACAGAGCAGGTACTATTTGTGTGGTGGATCATTCTCAGCACTGCAGTAACACTGACGTGGTGGAGGTGTGTTAGTGTGTGTTGTGCTGGTACGAGTGGATCAGACACAGCAGTGCTGCTGGAGTTTTTAAACACTGTGTCCACTCACTGTCCACTCTATTAGACACTCTGTCAGTCCACCTTGTAGATGTAAAGTCAGAGACGACAGCTCATCTGCTGCTGCTCAGTGCTGCTGTTTTTCATCCTCTAGTCCTTCATCAGTGGTCACAGGACGCTGCCCACAGGACACTGTTGGCTGGATATTTTTGGTTGGTGGACTATTCTCAGTCCAGCAGTGACATTGAGGTGTTTAAAAACTCCAGCAGCACTGCTGTGTCTGATCCACTCAGACCTGCACAACACACACTAACACACCACCACCACGTCAGTGTTACTGCAGTGCTGAGAATGATCCACCACCCAAATAGTACCTGCTCTGTGAGGGTCCATGGGGGTCCTGACCACTGAAGAATAGTATGCAGAGAAACAGATGGACTACAGTCTGTAATGGTCATAATGTTATGGCTGATCGTTGTGTACGATGAAGACCCGTTACAGTCAAAGCAGAACAGTCAGCTGTGGCTACACTTACAAAGCAAAGACCAGTTTAATTATTTTTTTTGTGATGAGCAGAGAGGAGAGTAAACAGTGGTGGGAAGGCTAAAGGAGACAGAAAGGACAGTTTGTCTCAGTAGGGACCTGCACAGGTCTGACATGGGTGGCAGAGAGATCTATCATCTTTAAATACTGCTCTGCACAGGCCACCAGCATCCAATGCACAAAACCAGCCAACCCCCCTGACCTCTGCAACACCAGTTATTTTATCCAGTGGGCCACCAGCCCCGCCTCGCCTCGTCCTACAGACTTGTATTAATCAAAACTTTGTGTCAGTCACCACAAGTGCATATACATTTTGGTTATGCACGTTTCCTTGTTTACAGTGTTAATCATTTTCTGATTTTACAAATCCAAGTAAGGTAACAGTGAGCATGAATCAGACACCATTTTTTCTTGTTTTTTTTTATTTTCTTGTTTTAAATGTAGCCTAGTTAGTTTCTGTCAAAGCAAATAGGAAAATTAAGTGTACCTCTTAGCACTGTCTTTAGCTGAAATGTTTGTTGATAATGTGACCGGTTATCCATAACTTAACACTCGTGAGCGAGACTCCTGCATTAAATGGGCCCAGAACTGCCTACTTTGACAGTAAAGGTACATTTGACTGACAAGCAAATAACCAACGACAGATTGGTGTTTAAATGTGAGGCGTGAGGGACAGGCAGGAAACAATCCAGTAAGCTTCGGCCAACACGTCAGGAGAACTAGCTTAAAAGCTACTAAGTGCTTCAAACAGAACTACTTAATACCTTGTAAAGAAATGCTGTGAATTTTTTTTTCAATCCAGCATTGATATGGCTGTAAAGAGCACAGTCCAGCACACAGTCCAGCACACAGAGCAGGCAACTGCTTGCAAAAGACACAGAAAATTGTTCACACAGCAGGTAAAAGTGGCCCAAATCTGATCTTTTTCTTCATATGTGAAACAAATGTTTGTCTGTTTGTCAGTGTGAACAGATAAACTCTCTGAATCTGACAATTTCAGCTCTGATTTGAGACACTTTCATATGTGGTACTGAAATATGATCCGTATCCGATCTGCAGCAACGTGACTCAGTCTGAACAGCCAGATGTGAATTCATGCAACGTCAATCCAACTTGACATTCGCCATAATTTCACGGTGCTGAGGCCTCAAACATTTAAGCTGATGTTTCTGTACAAAAAAAATAGAGGACACTTGTCGCAACCGCTGTGTTCTAAGAGATTTTGAAAGAAACGGCCGCATACAGGTCACATTTAAAAGATATTGTGAACAACCAACCCAAAACATTTGGTGAGAAAATCCGATTTGGGCCACTTTTACCTGCTGTGTTAACGTAGCCACAGACGTGCAGACAGGCAGTCAGAATGGCAAAATCCTGATAGTTGTGGCCAGCTTAGCTTAGAAATCAGACGCTCTGTCTACATGTGGGGGAGCGGCTGAGACTGCAGCTTCGTGGCACGTAGCACAGAAGCTGCACACTACGTTTTAAAAGCACTTCACAGATTTACATGTTCGCAGTGGAAATAATGCAGTGATTGGATACAATTTTGAGCTCAAAAATTATCGAGAAATAATGATTAATCATGTTATTTCTATGACATGATGAATTGTGTGTAATATGACCAAGCACATAAACTGAAGGTGAGAAAGGTCCATTTTGTTTTCAGGTGGACATTAAGAGAAAATTCTAAGCTTATTTCCTGTTCCTTACTGTACAGCACACACTGCATTCACAGTAACCAACGCATGCCGTGGTATGAATGAGGACATTTAAGTAGACCTGTGTTCCGTTTCAGACGTCATGGTTATAACTTATTTAAAACATCATCAAGACACCTGAGACTGAGAAAACGACCACCCTGTTAATTATCACATCTCCCAGTCATGGAAATCAAACCTCAATACGTTAATATGATCATCAGAATGTCTTCTCAACAGTCAGCCAGAGAAAAGCCTTGATATAGAGATAAATGTACTGATTAATTAATAATGTGTTATTTTACAGCACCCATCTCTTTCTTTCTTTTGTGGATCTGGCAGATGTGTGCAAAATTAATTTCTCGGATTAATCTGAAAATTAAGGCGGCCCTGTCTTGTCTGCATCGGCACCATTTAAATTGCTACAGTAATGGGGGTCAGCAAGGAGTCAATATTATTTCTTTTCCTCTGCGGTGAAGACAAGAGGTGAGAAAAGCTCATCACGGAGGAGACGAGAAGAATGGATGGCGAGGAGAGAGAGAGAGATCAGGCGGACTGAGAGACTAAGCAAGGGGGGGGCTTGAGGAAGGAGGGGTGATAATAGTCTTCCTAAAATTGCAACATTAGTATTTCAGCACAGCAGACTTTTGACTATTTCCCAAATGGGATGATTAAGGTTTTGTGAGAGAGCATGAACAGCGGCTCTAAAGAGCGAGGAGCTGATTGTAAATCCTCTTCCATATGCAGACGCATGAGTGAGGCATAACTGTGTTATTGAAGTTAGAGCAGTACCTCGCACTGCCAATGTTGTTTTTCCTCTCCTGCTCCTCTTTCCGCGCACGCAGCTGCTGTTCGGCCAGCGACATCTCCTCCTCCATGTTGGAGATTTCCTCCTTGGCTCTCCGGCGGTTCTCCTGAGAGAAGGAGAGAGGGGTGTATTATAGAGGGATGTTCAACAGAAAGCCAAGTGTGTGGAAAAAGCATGTAAACGTAATGACTGCGTCTCACCTGTCTGCTCTTCCCGGCGTGTTTGATGCTGTAGAACATCGGGCCCAACTCCGCCAGCCATTCGCCGTCCACCGCTGTTACACACTGCATGTACTCCTGCAACATGGACACCAGCATCAAACCAGAGCAAAAACCCAGCCCTAACCCAGGCTGTGACACTACAATTATATCAGCATACAGAACCACAAACCCACCCAAGGCAGATGTATGTTCATTTTCATTAACAGGGACACTCTGTCAAAAAAATGAAATCAACCACTTCATCTTTTGTAAACTGCACTTTAAAATTCTATGTAATGTGACAAATAATATTAAATGCTAGTTTTAAGCCAGGATGCTCCCTTAAAACTAGACGGTGACAAAATGAAAGTGATGAATATCAATCACAGTCATTAATATTAAGAATAACATTTTCATAATCTTACCAAAGAGTTAAGACGATAACTATGACCCAAAAAAAACTGCAGCAAAAGCATAATTACTGTCCTTATCACTTTTTCTTCCTTGTACAGTATTGGTTGTTTATGCTTGTTTTGTATCGATTCCTTGTTTGTTAGGCACTTTAAGCTGCATTTTAAAGTGTAAAGAGTGCTATATAAATAAGGTGATATATAAATAAGACTGCAGACTGTAAGAATTTAGCAGAATCATCAGCAACAGTGCACTAAGCCTGAATCTGAGGAGGGCAACATTTATTCAGCTGTTTCTTTTTTCCTTTAGCTTTATAGCAAATCAAGCGTCAGGGTCACCGCTATGTTTTCAAGACCACAGAGTGCATTTAAAAGTCTGTGAATGAGACTCTGACTCAGCATTGCTAAAGGAGATGAACACTGAGTTTCACACCTGATTCGGCACGGTTCTTGTAGTAGTAGAGAAGAAGAAAAAACCCTTTACACAACATACCAGACCACAGAGCTACAAAAGACATTGTGAGTGAAAACGAGATGGGGCACAGTACCTTGGTGGTCATGACCAGCTCATGGTAGGTGATGTAGTCAGGGGTGTAGCCCATGCCAAAGAGAGAGCTGGTGGGATGAAGGTGACAAGGCATCCCTGTTCGTACGTTCACATACTCCCCGATACCCTATAGAGACACAAATTTTACACGCTTGGTCAATGCAGGGACTCAAATGCTACACGGCACTCCTGCTTATGTGCAACAGTGACGTAGGAAATTTTACTCAGATGTCAGCATTTGGTTGTGTACCTTCAGCTTTGCAGCCTGGTGGAAATAGGCTGCACATATGCACTTCCTGATCACGTCCCAGTCAGAGCCACAAGAAGTCAGGTTCATTTTCTGCTGCACCATGATGTCTTTGAGCTGTGCTCGCACTTCCCGCACCTGCAGCAAAGAGGTAAACGACATGTCTAGTTACTCTGAAAAGATTAAGGGAATAACACCGATTCAAGGACCAGTGAACCACACTGAGATGCTGCCGTACTTTGCGCATGGCCTTGGTGTGGATGAAGTGCTCGTTACACCAGATGCTGGAATAGTTGTTGTTCTTCCACTGCAGGTAGACGTTGAGGTAGGTCAGGTGATCGCTCTCAGGGACAGCAAACTTCTCCCTCACCTGGTCACTCTCCTCTTCTCTGCCCTAATTGGAGCATGGTAAACAAAACGTTTTAATTACGTGGATAGTCAAACAGAAGAAACGCCTCATATGCAGGTTCATCAAATGTATATAAACAGGGACAGAGACTTCAGATGTTACGGCTTAGCAGATTCTCATTCTTTTCACAAATTAAGGACATGCACAGACCTTGGGCCTGTAGAAAATGGTTGGCACAGACAGCATAGAGACTACGATGAGGATGTCGGCACTGCAGCCCATATCACAGGACACAATCAACATCTTGGACAGTGCTGGGTCCAGAGGAAATTCCACCATAAGCCGCCCAGTGGGTGTCAGAGCACCTGATAGGGAAAGAAGAGGGAGCTACAGTTACACAACGAGCAATAGAAGTGCAAAACATAACCTTGGGAGGAATCCTGTACAGGTTTAAGAATTTGATCAAAAATTTCCAAAGCTCAGATTTCTGTGATTACATGACAGACTCTAAGAAGCTTAGGGAGAAAATGCAGAGAAAAGCAGAGTAGACACTTTGGGCAGGTAAGCTTTAATCAGAGATTATCTGCTGTTAACACAGTGCAGGGGCAATACAGAGAAATCCCACTTTCAGTCAGATCCTCACAAATTCTCAAGGACATGCTGCACCTAACAGTCACATTCATACCCCTTTGTGTGATTGTTACTTTCTTTCAGGTTAGTCTGCGGCACCATAATGCCACTGTCAGGTTTACATACATATTAGTTTTAGGATCTAAATGAACTGACAGAGTGTGAAGTAGTCAATATAATCATAATGCTAATAGTGACAATAAGTTATGTTTATACACCGATCAGGCATAACATTATGACCACCTCCTTGTTTCTACACTCATTGTCCATTTTATCAGCTCCACTTACTATATAGGTGCACTTTGTAGTTCTACAGTTACAGACTGTAGTCCATCTGTTTCTCTGCATACTTTGTTAGCCCCCTTTTACCCTGTTCTTCAGTGGTCAGGACCCCCATGGACCCTCACAGAGCAGGTACTATTTGGGTGGTGGATCATTCTCAGCACTGCAGTAACACTGATGTGGTGGTGGTGTGTTAGTGTGTGTTGTGCTGGTACGAGTGGATCAGACACAGCAGTGCTGCTGGAGTTTTTAAACACTGTGTCCACTCACTGTCCACTCAATTAGACACCCCTACCTTGACAGTCCACCTTGTAGATGTAAAGTCAGAGACGATAGCTCATCTGCTGCTGCACAGTTTGTGTTGGTCATCCTCTAGTCCTTCATCAGTGGTCACAGGACGCTGTTGGAAGAATATTTTTGGTTGGTGGACTATTCTAAGTCCAGCAGTGACACTGAGGTGTTTAAAAACTCCAGCAGCACTGCTGTGTCTGATCCACTCAGACCAGCACAACACACACTAACACACCACCACCACATCAGTGTAACTGCAGTGCTGAGAATGATCAACCACCCAAATAGCACCTGCTCTGTGAGGGTCCATGGGGGTCCTGACCACTGAAGAACAGGGTAAAAGGGGGCTAACAAAGTATGCAGAGAAACAGATGGACTACAGTCTGTAACTGCAGAACTACAAAGTGCACCTATATAGTAAGTGGAGCTGATAAAAGTGTACTATCATTTCCTAATGACCATTCTTTACCTAAACAGTCCTAATGAGTCATGTACGTTCTGAGACTTTAAAACTGGAAGGGTGTCCAGGTGCCACAATAACTGTTTTTAAGTTAAAGAAATAACTGTACATTAACATTCAGAAAATGTTATTTTTTTTAAAATAGTTTGGTGAAGAGATTGTATTTATTTCTTTTTACTTCACCATCAACAAAATGTGTCATTTGGCCAGGGGAGCTCAGGTGTGCCTAAATACAGATCTGTACATCTGTGTCGTAAGTGGCTCATTTTGCCTCTTGAGCCTATGGAAGTGCTGAGGTTAACACTGCACCTTACCTGTGTTGTCCAGAGCTCCCAGGATCCACAGCTGGTACATGGAATTGAGCATGTTGTCTTCGGGCGGCGGGTCCATGAAGTGAAAGAGTAGCAAGTCCTGCACCCCCAGAGACTTCAGCAACAGCACCACGTTAGCCAGGTTGGTGCGCTGAATCTCTGGAATGGTGGTGGTCAGCATTTCGTTCTTGAAGGCACTCTGAGTGTATAACCTAGGAATGAGAGGAAGCCAAATAAAGGAGTGACCGTTAATTTGTAATATATGAACAGGGCGGACATTTGTGAAATGAGCGAAGCAGAAAAAAAAAGAGAGAGGAAAAGTGGAGAAAAGCCCAAACAGACACATGGACAGACAGTGAGTCGTTTAATGAAAAGGTACCAAATAAAGACTCTGCATGGGGCCTGAGGAATGACTAATGTAGTAACGCCTGAAAGAGCGCAAAGTCTCGGCTCTATTCAGACTCACTCCACTCCCACCTTAAAAAGAAGCCAAAGAGAGCCTTCCCCACAATGAGCAATTTCCAAACTGCTTATGAGCGTCTTAAAATATCCAAAGCACTTAACACGGCTCTCCTCGCTGGCACGCAGAGATAGGTCTGAGCCAACACAGGATTTGTGCAGCCATTCACCTTATTGGATAATCCTACTGAAGTTGGTGAATTACGCTGAAAAGCTCAGCAGGAGTGGGTATGCTTTCTCTCCCCCACATAAGCAGAGCTGAAGTGACGCTGGCATTTGTAAAGGTGCTTCTGAGGTGCGGATTCACCACGCAAGCCTCACGCGCAGACAACTTCCCTATGAGGCCTCTCTCTCAGTCTACAGCGCCCAAACAAAAACTGATTGTTCACAGAAACAGATTGTTCACAGTTGCAGAACGCCACAGATGGCACGCTCTCCTGAGCAGCCAGACGCATTAATATGGATGCAAAACAATTCCATCCATGAACGAGTGTATGCTACTGAGACTGTGTGTCCCTGTATGTTCACCAGAGTGCAGATTTGGAAAAGGTCACTGTGGAAAAGCCTGGCGGAGGAGTCTCGGAGTCGCATTCTCCCTGCTGTAAACAAAATGAAACGGCATGAAATCCTGTCAAGATTATGGTTTTATTTCTTCTCTGCAGTCCTCTTGGCTGCTTGATGGATGTTATAAACGAGGGACAGGCTTGCAAATCACAGAGACAGAAATGGCAGTCGGCAAGAGCCTTTGAGATGTAGAAAGATGCAGAGCTGAGATGAACTACAGCCTCCAGAAATGGAGGGAAGCTAGAACACAAAGACACACTAATGGTAATGCCATGGCAGTTTGCTTTCAAAGCCTGGAGTGGTGTGAAGAGGCCCAAGTGGAACACAATGTTCCCAATGTGCAATCCACTTCTGATCGGAACTGAAATGAGAGGGTGAGGCTGTGGCGTACTGGTGCTGCTCTGGTTTTCTGCTGTTTGATGGTGAAGAAGGACACTGTGACCTTTCATTCCTTCTTTCATTCTCTCCCTCCGTCATTCTCTGGCAGTGGATGGCCAAGACACTATCCCCTACAGGCCAGACTGTCCGCAGGTCACACTGAAGAGAAAGGCTTTAACGAGACAGGCTAAAGACTACTTTAATCAAGGCTGCCATTATGTTCCTTGGTCTTACCCTGGCTCTCTATCTCACTCTCTTCATTTTCACCCTCCCACTTTCCCACTGCTGAAATGGAGTCTAATCAGTCTCTGGACCCTGAGCGAAGATGTGTTGATTAGGCCAACATCTAGCATCAGCCTTCAAGAGAAAGGCATGAGTATGTGTACCTGTAGCACTGGCCTGGCCCTGTCCTCCCAGCTCTGCCAGCACGCTGGTTGGCATTGGCCTGGCTGATGGGGTAAACCTGCAGAGCATCCATACCTATGCGTGGGTTGAACACCTGTGGAAACAGGGCAACAGAAACAAATGACAGTTGTGATGACGTGCTTTTGGAGGGTTACATTTCCATTTGGGAGGATTACATACATACCGGGCAACCACAAAGAAACATGAGTCAATCGTTTTAAAGCCCACAGCCACGTACCTTAAGTTTGCAATACCCAGAATCCACAACAAACATGATCCCATCGACAGTCAGAGAGGTCTCTGCGATGTTGGTAGCGACAATGCATTTCCTCACACCGTCCGGGGCCTAGCACGACAGACAGACAAATATTTCTAAATACAAATCATTTAAGCAATTCAAAAGCTTCCAGTGAATTGACAGGGATGGATAACATACCTTCTGGAAGATCTTGGCCTGCAGGTCTGAGGGCAGCTGAGAATAGATGGGCAGAACTGCAAGTGGAGGGAGCGTTCTCCAGATCTTCCAAACGCTCTACGATCTGATCTGACGTTACCTGCAGCAACACAGGGGGGTTTGATGTTGATGCAGCTAATAAATGTGGTTCTTAAGTTTTGGGGCATTTAAAACTTCACTGTATAACACAGTAACTTCCCACTGAAGCCTTTCTACCATTTCTACATCAGAATTTTTTTTTCTCATCTAAAAACTCACCTCGATGTCCTCCTGACCAGGCATGAAGATGAGGATGTCTCCCACCATTCCGCTAAGGTGGATCTGCAAAGCCTGCTTCACTGCAGCCTCCACATAGTCCTCCTGAGGAGTCTGTACACGGACATACACACACACTTAGCCTCAGTGAGCAGAGAGCCTCCTTCCGATGCTGGAAACTACATTAGAGACCAGAGGAGCCATTAACACATCTTACCTTACTGAACAAGATGTCCACAGGGAATGTCCTTCCAGGAATGTGAAAGATGGGAACGTTTCCGAAGAACGCCGCAAATTTGTCCGAGTCCATGGTGGCAGACGTGACAATGAGCTTCAAATCGGAACGTCTGGACACGACCTTTTTAAAAAAAGCAAAAAAAAAAGCATGAGGAAGAGAAAAAAGGAGAAAAGGGAGAAAAAAAAAAATCAACAGGGCAAAAATCACAGATTAAACTTAAACTGAAAACTCCAATAAACAGATCTTAAAAAAAAAAGAGGAAACTGAAGAACTGTAATAATACTCTATGATAAAGTCAGAACAGAACAGTCTGAATGGTGGATCTGACCTCTCGGAGCAGACCGAAGAGCACATCCGTGTTGAGGGAACGCTCGTGAGCCTCGTCCATGATGACGGCACTGTAGTGGTCCAAATCTGACTCGCGCAGAGACTCTCGCAACAAGATCCCATCAGTCATGTACTTAATCATCGTCTTCTCTGAGGTACAGTCTTCAAAACGGATAGCATAACCAACCTATACATAAATTGGCACAAGTGTTTATATTAGATTCACAACAATATAATGTCTTTATGAGCATCAGTACTAGAACCAAATACCTCAGACAACAGGGATGTAAAATCTGACTTCAGCAGCTCAATTTTGATACTTCAGAAAATAATTAAATGGGTCATGAAATCTCATTTCACCACAATTCAGAATGTTTTAAAATACACTTCAAATGCACAAACATGTCTTGGGAACAATCTGACAATAGCCTGAGAATTTTATTTTGGCTAAAATAAATGCATAATTTATTCTAACACTGCAGTTCAATCACCCTGTTAAAACCCCTACCAGATATTCTGTTGTAGTTCTGGGCAATACAGTTTTCAGTGTTCATGTCTATAAGATGTGTAATTCTCAGTTTATCCACTGGATGGCAGTATTCATCCATAAAATGAATATGAAATGGTTTGAGAGGAATATCTAATAAGAGAAGTTATAGAACAAAAGCCTGTGATATCTAATTTAATGTGCAACATTACATAGAGCTTACCTCCTCTCCCAAGTTGCTGCCCATCTCCTCGCTGACCCTCTTGGCCACACTCATAGCTGCCACTCTGCGTGGCTGTGTGCAACCCACCATGCCGTAACTGGTGTAGCCGTCCTCGTGCAGGTACTGTGTCAGCTGGGTGGTCTTCCCACTGCCTGTCTCACCCACTACTATTACAATGCTGTTGTCTCTGTAAAGATTTTTGACAGAAATAAGAAACATGGTAGATAAAAATGCACAAAGGCAGCTGCGGCACCTACAACTTGACTTCAGTTCTGCAGCAAAATGATGTACCTGATGATGTTGAGTAGTTGTTGCCGGACAGCAAAGATGGGCAGAAATTGCCTCTGTTCCAGCAGAGTCTTCTTCTTAGCAAACTCACTGCTGGCCTCGCTCTTCTCTTTCATGTGGTCAGCAAACTTCTGCTCTGCCCTAGAGAGAGATTGATAGAACAGAGCAGGGGTATTAAAATTCAATAAGGTCCAGTTAGAGAAAATTTCCTACCTGCATCATGATTCAGTGCCAAATACTGTAAACTGAAGTAGCCTAGTAGTTGTACCAACAATCTTATACAGTCAACAACTGAATGTCAAATCAAATAAAGTACAATTCAGTCATATTTCAACAACTTTTGTCAGTTTTTTCTCTTTTAGAGCACGCCATGTGAATTAACCTCCCTCTGACTTCCTTCTCCGACTGTTGTTCCTCGCCTCGCCTCGTCCCTCCCCTGTGTATGCATCACTCATTCGAGTCTCGGTGCGCAGCGTAATGCTCAGACCTGATTGGCTGAGTAGCATCACGTGTGATATTTATTTTTTATTCGAAATTAAATAATTCTCCATAGTTTATCAGTTATAGGTCCAGGTCCGCATAGGACAGCGTCTGGGTCTGGACTCGGACTGCAGTCCGCCTGTTAGTGGATTAGCTGGTGACATCATTACGCAAGTTTTGACATTACCGCTTACTAAAGCGCGATGTGAACCTCAAGAACAAAATCCTTAAAAGTGTGGGAGCATTTCAATCTTAACTTAGAAAAGAAAAGGTTGCCAGTTGCGCTTAGTAAAGCCGACCTTAGCTGGCATGGGAGCACATCCTCCATGCTGGAGCACCTTAAGAGGAAACTTGTCGGCTCACTGGGTGAAGAAGATTCGTCTATAGATAAGCCCCTTTCCAAACCGCATACTAGCTCTAGCCGTTCTACTGCATGTAATGAGCTGTAACATTTTGGCCCAGTCCCATTTCACCCCTCGCCCCTAACACTTAGCCCTTAGCCCTCTGTTTTGCATGTTCACATCTAGGGTTAGGGTGTCCCAATTTTAGTTGAGATATAAGTGTTGGGGCTACATGGCCCTCCAAACAGAAGTTTTTCAGAGACTCCAAACAGAGTGATATAAGGAAATAGAAAAACCGGCAAGATGGCTGCACGACTGACCAAAGAAACCCACAAATGTAAATATTTTCTCCGTTAAAAAATTACGATACCCATCATATTATCTTAGTTTAATGCCGTTTCAATGTATTATGGTCCTTTTCTTCATAACAAGCATAAAAAAAATAAAAAAAAATTCGCTAATGTCTCTGTAGCTAGTTAGATTACTTTCCTGTTCCACCTTAAACAGTCCAACAGTTCTAATGACTGAAGTGCCAGAATGTAAATGCTGCACCATTTAAGGTGGAACGGGAAAATTCGAACAAGAAGCTGATGAATATCTGACTTCAGTTTTGTATCACCAAAGAATTAGGGGTGGGCAATAAGCAGCGCTAGCAGCTGTTAATGAGTCAATGTTTTTTTTATTTTTTATTTTTTTTATTTGAGTGTTCCATTTCGTAGGGCAAGATTTCAACCACTACCCCTTGTAACTCAGCTCCAAGGGGTTAGGGTGACACTTGAAAACAAGGGGTAGGGGTAAAAAGAAGAAATGGGACTGGGCCTTTCTATTTTCTCTGGTATCGTTAATGGAGCTGGAACAGAGAAGCAAGTTACTATTATTCACAGCGACCCTGTTCACTTTCCAGATAACGTTTACACCTTTAAACATTGCATCATCATCTTAACGTCGAGGCCACCGGTGCGTTCAAATTTAGCGAACACAGAAAAGTGTTTCCAAACAGTTTTCTCTTTTCCGTGAACACCTGGCTCCACTCGCAAACAGGAGGTAGTTCTCAGCAGACATACAAGGCAGCTGGACGAAGGGTGACCGCTGAAATGAAGTGTTTACACAAATTCATTCATTTAACTGTTTAGAAAAGAGTTTGCAACAAAAGTTTGCCGCTTTCCCGTCCGCTCCATCAGAGCGCGTCTCCTCTGAAGCGGGAAGTATCTGCTCTCAGAGGAGAGCGGGGCTCTCACAAGAGCATGGAGAGATGCTGACTTTGTTTCAGCAAAGACCTGTGATTGTAGAATTTAGTTGCAACAGAGTTTAGACAGATAGGAGAATGCACAGATCACAGACCGCACTGTTTACATTTAACATTTAAATTCAGATCGATTTGTTTGTTTACATGATTAAAGGAAAACTGGTTCAGTTTTGTTGTATTTTATTGCTGCTACTTTGCACATCCTTGGTTTTAAACAAATATTTATTTATCTTTCGTATTAGCAGGAAAATTCATTAAAACACTGGAGTTTTGAACATTATTCATCTTTGTCTTCTGTGCTAGTCAGCAAATGTTATTTGGTAATGTAGTGATTCATAATCCGAATAATCGATTATTCGTTTCAGTAATCGGAAGATTATTCAACTATCAAATTTGTCGTTTGTTGCAGCCCTGGGACCAACGCAACCTTTAAAAATAAGTAGCTGTACCTGTAGTCCACAGCACCATCCTCTCCAACATGTTTGCCTTCAGAACCATCTTCCTCTTTCTTAATGCCCATAATGTCTCCAAGCTTGGTACCGGCAAGCTCCCAGTGTTTGTGCTGAGCCTGAGGAACAGTAAAGGGAGTGTTATTCTAAGAAAAATGGATCTTTCTTAAACATACATACATAGTGTCTCAGTATATCAGGGCATAACATATTAATAATCTGAGAAATGCACAATGCAAAGTTAGTATCTATGTGCATTGTGGGGTGTAGGACTGATATCTCTGAGTTTAGCTGAGAAGTGAGAACTGATGAAAACAGCACCTTCTTGCGCTCCTTCTGCTCTCTGTGTTTGCGGACCAGCTGGCTTCCCTTGCGGGAGATGATGGCCATGTCTGAGGTGGGATCTTTCACCGGAATGACTGGCTCAGGCTGTGAAGAGGGGAGATGGACATTATTAGTGATTCCAAGAAAACATAAGAATTAACCTTTTCAACTCCTTGAGACCACCGGTGGTTCCAAAACGCACTCCGTCATATTCTTCATAACTTTCATATTTCATAAGCTACATTCTAAAGGTGGGGGTCGTATGAGAGCTGTAACTGTCTTCTTTCCAGTCAAATAGATGGGTGATGTAATTTTAAACCCTTATAATAAAAGAAGCTGAAGAATAATAAGAATTTTTTTTTCTACTGAAAGTCGACCCATTTTTCCACAAATCTGGGCTATAAACTATAAACAGATGGCGTCTCTTCAGTGATCTGCTCTGTAAAAATTATTTTTATAAAAAAAATACAAAGAGCGTCTAAGATTTTTGGCTTTCAGAAGTAAACTGTAAGCATATAGCAATATGTGTGATCATAAAACATGTTCTGTTAATTTGAGGGGAGCTTTTACAAAAAATAAATGAATAAAAAAATAAAAAAATTCACATTTATTTCATGCAGTTACTGAATAATTTGCCTTACGATTTGGTCATGTAAATTCAGATGGACAAACCAAAATACACCCTGGTCAATAAGAGGTTAAGGGTAGTTCAGTCGCCTCATTAAAACAATAACATAGCTCAAGATTGGAATTCATGAACGCTGATGTAGAATCTGGTGGTTGTGATTACTGTCCTTTGTCCTTTTCCAGTCAAAGCTGTAACAAGCGACCTCACCTGCTTGGTGAAGACAATTCTGCCATCTAGGAAAGGAGGAACTAGGTTGTGGACGAGCAAGTGGACTCTGGCCGCATTGTCTTCTTCAAAGTCCTCATCCACTTCCAACCGCTGCACCACACCGCTGGTTAGCATTCGGTTTGTCTCCCAACGTTCATTATCCTGAAGATGACAGGCAGAACATCTAAGTCAAACAACGTATCCATATCCATACTCCGATAATATATCTGTTCATGTCTGCACATTGTACAGCACTGAAGAGCTTATACTGTACCTCATTGAGCTGCCTTTTCTGGGCAGATATTCGTTTCTGGGTCTGCTTCTGTAAGATCTGCTCTCTCTTCTTCACGTATTCATCTGAGCTTGAAGTCAAGGGGTTGTGGAACTCATCATAGCCCTCATCCATCATGTACCAATCTCTGTCAGCTTGCTGTGGACAAAGAATTTACATAATAGTAACAAAGATTAAGGGTACAAGTTTATTAAAATGTATATTAAATAAGTACTTTCTATTCTTTTAGTACATTTCAGGGCACAAACTCACCCTCTGGTCTTCCTCCCACTGCTCCTTCTCCTCTTCGTTGTCAAAAGTGATGCCATCCTCTCCGTCTTCCCTTCTACCTACAGCAAGAAAGGATCCATTTAAACTTATAATTTACAATCACTTTGACAACGGCAGCTCAATGAGGTACAATAATTTGAAATTCATATTAAACAAAAGATGAATAAAAGACTTATTTCACTTTAAGAAATTTTGTTCAAGGCATCATTCAAAACAAGTTCACCAACCTCCACAGACTGTGTATGGCATTTCTGTCCTTCTGTCATACATTCTGATCATAATGTTATCATAGATTTTGCCATAGTTAACCTTGATTAATTAATCTTATGAACTTTCAAATGAATCTTACGAACTTAAAAATGGTTGTTTAACCCTAACTATACAATGAGCCTCACTCATCAACCGTTCTTAAGAAGAAATTTTTTATTTAGAATTTGTTCTTAGGTAAGAACAGAACCTACACACACACTCAACAGCACAAAGGTGCAAACAATTCTGCGGTTTAGAACACGTCATGATTCTGACACAGAGTTCTTCCTTAGGACCTTACTTAAGAAAAAAATATCGAAAAAAAAACAGGAAAAAAAAGGGAAGGTACTGGTGAATGAGGCCCAATGTCTATTTCTCAGAGCCTCCATTGTCTTTTTAAATATCTTGCATTTTCATCAGCATGGCATTTAAAAAATAGGATCAACTGTAAACTGATGAAATTGCACAAATTAGTCATTACATAAACTAATCTTATGGAAAAAAAAAGTTGTGTGAGACAGTAAATGGAAAGATGCAGAGATTGGTCCATTCTACATGTGAATAAATGGGTGCAAAATCTTCAATTCTATTGAATTAATCTCTGCAATCATGTTAATAATGCAAATTACAAACAGAACTATTTAGTAACAGGTTTAGTTATATATCTAAGTTATTATATATATATATAGTCATGTATCTATAACAATATAGAACTTAATCTTTGCATACCTTAAACAAGTTCAAACAAACAACATGCGACAAAGTAGATGAATACCTTTCCCTCTAGAGAGACGAGGAGTGGAGCCTAGATGCTTCCTGTCATTAGCCCACTCGTTGTATTTGTACGAGGGTGTGGGCAGAGGAGTGTCCTCTGGATAACGAGCCCTCACTGACCTAAGAAACAAACACGTGTAAGAATCAACACTAACAGAACATTTGAACAAAAAAATAATTCTAACAAACATGAAGACTCAGCATCCTAAAGACTTCACTTCGATATGCTTCACTTTCAGAATGCATAAAAAGGTTCTAACTTGTCTCTCCTCTCGCTGTCACGGGAGGAGCGATAGCTGCGCTCCGAGCGATCAGACTCCCGGTGTGAAGGGGCAGGAGAGGGGCTCTCCCAGTGGGAGCGTCGTGAGCTGGCATAGCCACTGTCGTCTTCGTCCCAGCTGGAGCGGGACGGTGTTGGAGCATCTGTGTGGGCACATCCAAAAAACATTCAGGATTTACTTTCATTTTTAGGCAAAGAAAGGTTTATTTGAGTTAGGTGCTCCAACCGACCCAGACTAACTGACCTCTGGGCCGATGGCGAGGACTCTCAGGCTCATCCCTGCGGCTCCCGCGGCTGATGCGCTCTGACCAGCCATCCCTCTGAGAGCGCTCGCTCCGAACACTGCCGTCCCCGTGCTCTGAACGACTGCTGCTGGAACCCCGGCTGCGGCTTCGCTCTCGATCATCTGAATCAAAAAACAGCCAAAAACATAAAAAATATTGTTATACAGGGAACAAAATCATGACTATCTTTGCAGCCTATTTGGAAGACTCCCTCACCCCCCACCCTTTAAAATGCCTGAAGCTCACACTGTGTGGAGTAAATGAACTCATAAAACACACTAGCACAGTAGTGTTTTCAGTACTTTTTATTAGCTGATGTATATTACATTATTTGCTCTTTAATAGGCCATTCATTTCAAGTTTTAAAATGCTTAAAATAAGAAAGTCACTTATTTAAAATAAGCACCAAATAAAGTGCTTAACTGAAAGTCAACGACAACTGGCTATACAGCACAGTGACTCATGCAAACTTATTCTACAACCTTTTGGTATGAGTACAGCAGCAGCAGCATTCAAATACAGCGCTACAACACTTATGTCAGCCTAACACCAAACAACTTTTCAAGTGATTTCACTGTCGCAGACAAATATCAAGTGTCGGAATAAAATCATGAGAGTCTTGCTAGAGTTGCGTGGCGCTCGCGTCATCTCAATCGTTTAGTGTTTAATATTATTGTAAGTTTTAAGTTTTGGCTCAAGACTTCTCTGTAAAAAAGGCAAATCTGCTCCACTTTAAAACAATAATCATATTAATCTATAAATTTAGATTAATTTAAGATTCCAGGTTCACTGAGTCTGTAACAGTAATGTAATAAAATGCGCAGAGGACTTTAAGAATGGCTTTAATGAAGAAGCATCAATGTTTTTTTCCCCATTTTATGACTCTCTGTTACAGTGTTTTCTTATTTTGTTGGTTAGTTTTTTTATGGTTTAGTTCAGAATATCTAATAAACAATGCTGAATCGCTGCATGTTTTGTTGATGCGTAAATCTTTGTTAAATAAGAAAGTAACTGCACATTTTACAGGTTATTTAAAAAAAAATTCTGGGTGATGATCTGCCAGAGTGCACATTTCAACAGTGAACAGCTCTGAGCCCCAGATCTTTACAAGCCCAGCTAGTGTATCTTTCCATTTGTACTACTACAGAGTGGAGAAGGAAAAGGGTTTCTCGGCTTGTAAATTTCCACCAGGTTTATGATGGGGAATAATCTCAGAAATCTAGTTGCAGTCTTACAGATAGTGACACTGCAAGATCCCCAGTCTGTGCAAAATCACAGTCTGTGACTAGAAACTGTGACATTGTCTTTAGGTGTGAGAGGGTGTCAGTCTTTAGTCTTTTCAAAGTCGTCTAGTGTATGGTTAGCGTTACCTGACTCATACTACCTATGGCATAAAATTACAACACAGATCAGCACAAAAAAAAACCACAAGACCACCACACTGGTCGATCATGTTTGGAGCAAAAACCTCAGATTCCAACAATCAAAATATCAAAAAATATCTGGAAATGTTAAAGATGAAGGTATCCTTTCATGTTATTTTGACAAAATCATCATTCTTCACTCACCTCGATCACTCTTTCGTTCTTTGTCTCTTTCTCTGTCCCGGTCCCGCTCTGTGTTTTTGCTTCTTTCTCTGTTTCTGTCCCTGCTTTTGTCCTCTTTGGATGACGCATATACTCCATGTTCCCAACGGTCTTTTTCCCTTTGTTGATGTTTCTGCCGGAACTCCTCACTAACCCCTCCAGGGTTGGAAGGTGTTTCTGAGCCAGCCGTTCGGTACTTGCGGCTGTAACACAAAATATTAGTGCAGGTTCTTTAAAACACAATCTTGAACAGCTGACCCCATGTAGGCCCGCACTTCAATTTATTTCATATTTATATATTAGTTTCATAGTTGTTATTATTTGTAATCCATGCTTGATTAATGGTCTTACAACTAATAAAATAGGATAGAGAAAAAAAAATCTTCACTGTACAAAACTATGGGCTGTAATTCTAAGACACAGATTAACTTAGATTAACAGACACAGAGTGTCTGTCGGTTTATGTTCCGGCACGTAATCTGAGATCTGCAGATAGTGGCCTTCAACAAATACCCTCTGTAAAATACAGTAAAGATGGAGAGACTCTTTCAGTTATTATGCTTCCAAACTGTGGAGCTCAGTCCACCTTTTATTAGACAGTCAAGCTCAGAGCTCACTTTTAAGACGCATCTAAAAACGAATCTCTAACTCAGCATTTAAATAACACTCCACGTCTCGTGGTGTTCATCTTCTAATTTGATCTTTTTCATTTTCTTCTGATTCTAAATAAATACTAATAATTTCTTGTATAACTATGTTTTATAACCTGTCTGTAAAGCACTTTGAGCTGCCACTGGCATGAAGTGTTATATAATTTTTTTTTATTAATTATTATTATTATTATTATTTAATTGGACTAAACTGCAATGCCAGTGGCAATTAGACACTGAAAATTCTTTGCGGTCTACATACTATACGTTTCAAATAACTCACCTCTCCTTTCTCCCGTTCTTGCTTTTACCCCCCTCATCATCATCATCGGACCCAGAGTCACTTTTCCCCTCCTCCCAGTCTTTATAGGAAGACACCTTGGACTTCTTTGACCTCTGGTCATCAAGGTCCGAGTTCAGCTGCTCCTTCCCCTCCCGCTCCTTGCGTTTCTGAGCAGCCAGCAGATCCAGGCCGAGGAGAGATGTTCGTGGTGCCGGGGCTCGGAATACGTGCTGCTCCACCGCAGCACTTTTCTTCTTTACCATTAGCCCTCCAACCTGAGCACCTGGGTCACTGCCCTCCAGACGATGCAGCGAGGCGTCATCCTCCATCTTCCTAGAGGGTATATGGTCCTTTGCTGTAGTAGGGCAAAATGTGAAGGTCCTTATCTGTAAAGGCAAAAATATATTTAGCTTCAGAATCCATCTTTTAGGAATTAGTCAGAACCGTGACTGATCTAGGAAGAAATAACTTACCTATTTAGAACTGAGGTGTGAAGAACCCATTGGTCTGACTGCAGGGCCTATTTGGTTACCACAGTAGTAACCCACCAACGTAGGTTAGCACTGGAATTCAGAAAGAAATGTTTTAACTACGCTCTAGTCTTTATTTGGCCTTATTCACAGCAATGATGGAAATCTATGACCAAACAAAAGGCTGAAATAAAAGCTTTCACACCAGTGTAGCATAAAATAAAACTGCCATTTTCTAGCAAGCTAAAGCAACACAATTTAAGACGGTATTCTGTAACCTCGTTTTCTGACAGGCTGGTAACTATCCACAGATTTAGTTTGCTTCCGTGTGGTGAAATTTCTTCAGGGACATTCCACTAATATTTCTACATTTCTATATAAAATAAATCAATAAGACATAAATACAGCCATTCAGAGTGGTTTAATGTGATCTTTTTTTTTGTTAGAGACTCTGAATTAGAATTGTTCACAGTGGTGGTGATAAGAAACAGACATGTGAAGAGTTAATGCCTCACAAAAAGGTATTACATGAATTTGTTACGAATACACCGCCTGAAACCGTGCAGTACACTGGGCCACCAGGACCACGATTAAGAAATACTGTATTAATGTAAAGATATCTCCATTAGTAGTTCCATGCTCTAGTAACGGCAAGATATAGATATTTATATAGATTTTTATAGCATACATACAAATAGAAATAGATAGATATATAGACAGATATACAGATAGATAGATAGATAGATAGATAGATATAGATAGATAGATATAGATATATAGATAGATAGATATATAGATAGATACAGATAGACAAATAGATATACAGATATAAATAGATATACAGATATAAATAGATATACATATATACACACACACACACACACACACATATATATATATATATATACAAAAATAAACACATATACATATATATATATATACATACATATATATATATATATATATATATATATATATATAGAGAGAGAGAGAGAGAGAGAGAGAGATAGATATATAGATATATAGATAGAGATATCAGATGTACTCTGTAGAGGAGAAACGTTTTTAAATTCACAGTTCTAGTCCGATGGGACTGCGGCTAAAAGGACAGGAGGGACTCCATCCATTTCATTCAGCTTATAATGAAGACTTGTAACGTCTACGCAGCAATATATTTAGATATATTTATCAGTATATTTAGATATATTTAGACAGCGTATTTAGGCTAAGTGGAACTAAATCTCGTATCGTTACGCGTCTAACTGAAAACAGTGTGGAGTTGTTGCCTTTACTTCATTAGCGTTAGCTAACGTTAGCTAGCTACACTGAAGCTACACTAGCTAACTAACTTACGCACCGCACAAAACTACACATTTTATCATTTTAATTACTATTAACCTATATTAACATACTCACCGGGTTTACATTCACATTAGAAACACTGACTCAGTTAAAGTCACACTGTCGACCGCGAGTCACTCAAAGCTGAAATAAACAGCGAGTCTGAGTTTTAGCTAAACCGGCTAACCGGGAACACAGAAGTGTAAAATAAGAGCCGCTAAAACCCAAATAAAACTCTCACCTGCTCCCTCCAGCGCTCGGTGAACTCCGTCCACTAAATCTGGTCACATTGCTGTGGTCAAAGAACAATAATGTTTAATAAAGTAAAGAAAATCCCTCTGAAAATACGACACTGAGCACGTCAACACTGCGTACAGACAGACGCCATTGCAATCCCATGATCCAAGGAAACAGACACGAAACTTCAAAAGAAGAGTTTTGACCCCTAAAACCTCCCAGAAACACTCTTAGTAGAAGTTATTACTATTATTGTTATTATTTTTTAATAATAATTTAGTAGGAGTAGTAGTAAGTATTATTATTATTATTGTCAGTGTACTACTATATTAATATAGTATACACTGATCAGGCAGAACATTCTGACCACCTCCTTGTTTCTACGCTCATTGTCCATTTTATCAGCTCCACTTACTGTATAGGTGCACTTTGTAGTTCTACAGTTACAGACTGTTTGTTAGCCCCCTTTTACCCTGTTCTTCAGTGGTCAGGACCCCCATGGACCCTCACAGAGCAGGTACTATTTGGGTGGCGGATCATTCTCAGCACTGCAGTAACACTGATGGGGTGGTGGTGTGTTAGTGTGTGTTGTGCTGGTCTGAGTGGATCAGACACAGCAGGGCTGCTGGAGTTTTTAAAGACCTCAGTGTCACTGCTGGACTTAGAACAGTCCACCAACCACAAATATCCAGACAACAGCGTCCTGTGACCACTGATGAAGGACTAGAGGATGACCGATACAAACTGTGCAGCAGCAGATGAGCTATCGTCTCTGACTTTACATCTAGAAGGTGGACTGACAAGGTAGGAGTGTCTATTAGAGTGGACAGTGAGTGGACACAGTGTTTAAAAACTCCAGCAGCACTGCTGTGTCTGAGCCACTCGTACCAGCACAACACACACTAACACACCACCACCACGCCAGTGTCACTGCAGTGCTGAGAATGATCCACCACCCAAATAGTACCTGCTCTGTGAGGGTCCATGGGGGTCCTGACCACAAAAGGGGGCTAACAAAGTATGCAGAGAAACAGATGGACTACAGTCTGTAACTGTAGAACTACAAAGTGACCTATATAGTAAGTGGAGCTAATAAAATGGACAATGAGCGTAGTGGTCATAATGTTATGCTTGATCAGTGTATATACTGATACACAAATGTACTACTATGTATTCAAACTCGTTATATTAATTGTAAGTATTATATAACTATTAACTTTTTGTAAACACATTCAACTCCCTCGCAAGTCAACAACATGATATGTATCCATGCTTTTCCTATTAGCATTGTGTGCTATAAATTCACATTGTACTATAAACGCTAACATTACATTTCCAAAGCAAAGATAAAAACGAAGATGTAGATTTTTAAAACAAAGAGACGAAAAAAATTACATATGCTGCTCGCTTCAGTATTCAAGCCCACATATTTGGTAGAGCTGTTCATTTTTTCCATTCAGCTCTGCAGATTTGGAGCACTTCATTCCGTTAGTCTTGATGATTCTTGTGCAACTTTCCAACAGTGACACAGATTCTTATTAGGATTGAGGTCAGGTTTTTCACTGGGCAACTACAGGACATTCACCCTTTTGTTTTTGAGCCACTTCAGTGTTGCTGTGGCCTTGTGCTTGGGATCATTGTCCTGCTGAAAGCTGAACTTCATCCCAGGCTTTTGGTTCCTTAGCAGTATTTTCCATCCATTCTTTCTTCAGTTTTAACAAGAGACCACTGATGAGCATATACACACATATTTCTTGAGGCATGTTCCCATGAGTAGGGATGTCACAGCTGGCGTGACAGTGGGCCCTAGAGGGCCTCTAGGGGAAGGTTTCTGTGATTGTGTCCACTCTTTGCCTTTATTACTGCGTCTATTCTTTTTTCAGGAGACTCGTTTTTGTTTTTTTCTTTCTTGCAGTTTTTCAAAAAGTCTAGAGGGATCATTTTTGATGACTCTTGTAAACACCTCCAAAGTTCAATCTAAGTAGGTGGAAATCCAGTGTTGTCGTCTCACAGTGGACAGATGGACAGAAACACTTGTAGATTTTATCAGTGGAGCTTGATTTTCTCCTTTTGGAATTCCTGTGTTGTCACTCATTTTTCTTTGACCTTCTCCTTCCTTATCCAGGTGAACTATCATATCTAATCTGCTCAGAGGTTAAAAGCTGTGCATGTTTATTTGCTCTCAAAAGAACTAATATTAGAATAAGGTCAAATAGCATTAATAATACAAGTAGTGGTGTGTCAACATGTTTTCCTTGTGACTCCCTGGTATAAGTAGTGGTATTCATTCAACACTCGGGTTTACTAATCAATTCTTAATGCTAATTAAATCTCAATTCAATGTTAAATCAAGCCTGTCAGTGATGGAATTTATTAAATCATGTGATAGGTGGATGTGTGCAAGAGCAATCTGGAACCAGATGTGTGTGTGTGTGTGTGTATTTATCCGTATTTATTGGACAAACTGGCTGAGAGAATCCATCTTAATTTAGCAGCTGCCTAAGCAACTTAACTGTAAAGTGATAAAATGGTGATAAACATTAACCAAACCAACAGGGGTTATAGACTATATATATATATAAAAAACTATAAATCCACGATCATCTACAAAGGATGCCTATACAGAACAGTCTGCTTGCTTCAGTGTGGTGGTAAAGGCGGTAAAAGAATCCCATTCAGGATTAAAGGTAAAGGAGCACAGAATAAAATACAGTAAGAAAAAGCTTTTCATTAAAGTGAAATTAAGTTCTGGCAAGTGTCTGCCTGGCCACTGGTGGTGGTGGGCGATATAAAGGCTGATGAGGCCATCAGTCTGCCAAACACAGCATTAGAGGACTGTGTATGAATAAAACTATTATTTCTCAGCCTCGTGAAGCTGATGGAGAAAGTGAAAATGAAAATCTTTAACTTTTTTGAGCTGACATAAGGGGTTATTGGCCTCCATTAAGAGATTATGACCATAATTGCTCCTTTTTTGCCAGTTCAACTAAAAAAGAAACTGTCCATGCACTCTTAAAACTCAATATTTCATTACAGTCAAATAAAAGGAAATAATACAGTGCAGTTCAGTAAAAGGTGTGGTTGTAGTATAATGCAAACTTTAACTTGGCCACAATGTTTTTATCATTCTAGTAAGAAGAGACAGGAATTGCAATCGTCACATGGACTTCACTGTCCGAGAGTTTGTGGCCGCTTAGCTTAGCCACCCGCCTTCTTCCCTGCAGCCTTTCTGGCTGAGGCTGTGTGGAAACGATCTGTTTTGCCTGATAAACGAGAGCCGAGACAATTTTTCAGTCTGATACCTGACGCCATGTTCTGAGGATGTAAAATGTGCACCGTACCATCTGCCTACAGCATCAAGCATGTTTACCCAGCACAGCTGCATTACTACAACAAGCTCATTTATGTTTGGTACAATAAATGCCACATCATCCTTTGAGTAAATGGTTGTGCACATTTCGTTCTAAATGCAAATACTGATATGAAGTGATACTGAAGTGCAGTTACTTTGAATGACCATATACACCGATCAGGCATAACATTGTTTCTACGCTCATTGTCCATTTTATCAGCTCCACTTACTATATAGGTGCACTTTGTAGTTCTACAGTTACAGACTGTAGTCCATCTGTTTCTCTGCATACTTTGTTAGCCCCCTTTTACCCTGTTCTTCAGTGCTCAGGACCCCCACAGAGCAGGTACTATTTGGGTGGTGGATCATTCTCAGCACTGCAGTAACACTGACGTGGTGGTGGTGTGTTAGTGTGTGTTGCGCTGGTCTGAGTGGATCAGACACAGCAGTGCTGCTGGAGTTTTTAAACACCTCAGTGTCACTGCTGGACTGAGAATAGTCCACCAACCAAAAATATCCAGCCAACAGTGTCCTGTGGGAACAGGGTAAAAGGGGGCTAACGAAGTACGCAGAGAAAAAGATGGACTACAGTCTGTAATTGTAGAACTACAAAGTGCTCCTATATAGTAAGTGGAGCTGATAAAATGGACAATGAGTGTAGAAACAAGGAGGTGGTCATAATGTTATGCCTGATTGGTGTATGATCATAACTGTATAAAGAAATAAATCTGTCAAGTTATGACCAGATGGAACCAGTTCTTTTTCCCTCTTCCCACTGTATTCAAAAGACATTTACAGCTTCTGTCAAATCTGGTTAAATCAAAATATATCAGACAGCCAAGAAAATATACAGAAATGATGGAAACATCCATGTTTACACAAAGCAAAGCAACACTGTTGTGGTACGGAAGGATGACCACTTATTTACACATTGAACTAGATGGAAATGGCTGATTTTAATAGTCAAATGGTGACCAGAGATCGTAATCTTAGAGTAGACTACACTACTGAAGTGATCACAACGTGCTGGAATTTCACTGTGCTCCCAGCTCTACTTCAGTCTCAGAAACAATTTAAATAGGGTGCAGTTACACTAGATTAAAGATTCTTAGATTAAAAGTACATAAAAGCAAAACATTCAACCACCCCATCATGTAAAAAGTCAGAAAAAAAAAACATTGCATGGACTGGAAAAGACAATGATTTTGATAAGATATGAAGACAAAACGAAGACACTGCATACAAATAACTTGTGTCACCAGTGAAGGGGAAGGACGCAACACCTGACTGAGGCTATGTACTACAAGTGCTCGCAATTTTGAGATGAAAAAAAAAAAAAAAGTAATGCATAGAGTATCATTTGAAATATACAGACTTTGTGGACTGCATGACAGTTCAAGTATTAAACACAAACCACAAATCGTTTCAAATAAATTATTGTTATCATTACATCTCCATAAACATATGTGTAAAAATACAAAAGGGCAAAGTGTTAGAATTATTTTCAACATCCTCAGGTACCGCACTATACGAATCAAAGTAAGAACAAAGAGTAAAATGTAAATGTCTCAGACTGTCAGGCTTATAAGCAATTTTATAAAGTTTGGACCCAAACTGTTCCGCTTTCGTTTGATGCTTGGATGTGGATGAGACGGTACTTGTGTAAGTTAAGAGCAGCTCAGTCTAAACAGTCGAATGAAAGTGAGGAATCCTTGTTTATTTGTTCCTCACAATGAATTAAATTGGGGTCTATACGGACAGTGATTGCATACTACTTGTGTGTTTCATGGCCTTCGGGTGAACCCAGGGCAATTTAAAGGTGGAATTTAAAAAAATTAAAAGTACTCCAGGATTTTACCATCTGATCTCTATCTTCTGTAGCATACAGTCAACTACAATGGACAATCTTCTTATACTCAGCTAAAGAACAGAAAAATTACTGCCTCAAGAAACACAATGTGTAAAAGACTCCACATCTGTAAAGCATCTGCCCATTAGAATCTATTTTAAATGCATGTTGTATCTTTGGGTCTTCTGTTGTTTTACTAAGTACAAAAAAAATGACTGCCTGTGGTAGTTATCTGTACGCTTTAGATACACCAGACAGAAATGAAGCTATAAAACACTGGAGTATCCTTCTAAGGAGAAACCTAATGACTAATTAACTACCGTCTCCAATACAGCTGACCTATGACGTAAAACATTCACATTATAATTGCATGAACCAAGCCTGAAACCTCAAACTATGCAACTGCATCTCTTGCAAAAATAATCCTTTTTTGTATTATACAACAGTTAGTTCCAGTCACGCAAGCTGATTGGTTGAGAAGTGTTTTTTCACAAACACTATCACGCCGCTGAGACGCCGTTGCTAAGCAACGACTTTGACAGCTGTAGGAGACGCTCAAGCCATTTGAACGTTTTTATAAACAGAAAATGGACACTTTTAAATGACATTTAAGTCACATTTGACCGACAGCCGATTTGGTCAGACTCTGAAGATGAGACGACACTAAATTCCCAAACTGTCATCACCACTGAGCAGCTTTTCAGTCGGCAGCTGTGACAGAAGAACAGCTAAACAACCTGGAATCAGCCAGAAATGAACCCAATACCATTCGCCAAACTAAATGGGCTGTAAGATACTTTACAGACTGGCTGGAACAAAACAACATTAATACTGATCTGCAAAAAATGACAAAACTGAGCTAAACTTCATATTGTTGCAGGCTCAGTCTGATTTGGTCAGACTCTGAAGATCAGACTACACATTTAGCAAATGGTATTGGGTTCATTTCATGTTTAGGTTTCTGTCGCAGCTGCCGACTGAAGCTGCTCAGTGGTGATGACAGTTTGGGAATTTAGTGTCAACAAGCTGCTCGTTAAGGAACTATAATTTGGTGAAGGAACTGCGAACATTAAAACATATTAAACGCCGCGTTCACGGCCCAGTTTATTAATTTATTACTTTATTTATTTAACTGTTGTATAAAAGCAATAGAACACTCGAGGTCATGTGTTATCGCGAATAACATCACGGCTGTGATGATCAACGGCAACCAAATCACAGTCGCGATGTTATTTCGCGATAACACGCTCCCTCTGTGTTCTGTTGCTTACCTAAAGCACTAACTGAAGGTGGCACACAAGGCACATTGTGCGCCACATTCCGATTCAGTGCTGCATGTGAACTGTCAAAGCTACGGCCAAGAAAGCGTTAGAACATTCTGAGCCGGTCCAATTCCTGCTCATCCTGCTCTAATCCTGCATAATAAAGAGACAGTGGGGAAAAATCTGACAAAAAAAGGATTCCTCACTCTCCCTGCAAAGTTGCTGGCATAAAAAGGGGAATGAGGGTCATCCTGCAAGTCCAGTGTGGTGGGGTGGTATTGGACAGACAAGTCAAGGCCTCCAGACGAAAGAGAGAAAGAAAAAAAAGAAGAGAGAAGTTACCCTGGCCTGGGTCTTCTGAAAATTCGGAACCTAAAGACACAACGAATTGACGTTTGATGCCAGAATGCGTACCTCTATGACCATTTTCTTAACCTAACAGTAAACACTATGCTATAACAGTTTTGGTAATCCAGGCCCTGGTGAGTAGTGCTCAAGATGATTTGTGCTCTAGCATGTAATAACGGTACATGATGCCCACGACGGCAGCCGCTACAGCAGGAATCAGCCAGGTGGTCCACGAGCTGAACAAAGAAAAAACAAGTGAACGGTCAGCGGTGGACGATGGCCAGTACCGATTCATACATACAGACCTTCACAGGGCACAATGTCTCACCTGGACTCTTTTGAAGTTGTGATGTAAACTTCCTAGAGAAGGAAAGATGAGGAATAGTTAAGAGATGTTAAGAGAAGGATTAACTAAGTATGGGTTTATGTACAAGGAATTTATGTAAAACGAAGCAAAGACTGCTTAACGAACAACTCGCCTACACATATTCTAGTTCAGGCCTGTGCCGGTAACAGAATCCTCTTATTCAGGTGACTATGTGGAAAATAACCACAGAAAACGTTTAAACTGGGTTGATGGGTCGGGGGGGGGGGGGGGTCGGGGGGTGGGCATACCCCATGGCAATTACACTGAAGCACATGCGGAAGAAAACAGTTTGTCGAATAAGAGAAAATAATACAGTGCAGTTCAGTAGAAGTTGTGGTTGTAGTATAATGTCAACTTCAACTTGACCACAAAATTGTTATTATTCTAGTAAGAAAAGAAAAGAATTACAAAGGTCACATGAACTTTACTGTCAGAGTTTGTGGCCGCTTAGCTTAGCCATCTGGCTTCTTCCCTGCAGCATTTTTGGCTGAGACTGTGAGGAAACTCTGTTTTGCCTGATAAATGAGAGCTGAGACATGATTTTCCTGAGTGGCTTTTTGTGCATGATACCAGGCGTGTTTATCCAGCACTCAGTACAAGCACAAGGCAACGAAATGCAGTTAGCGTCTACCAGACGCGCAAATAGTAGCAATAGTGCAAAACGGGCAAATGTGCAATAATAGGCATAAATACAACATATAACTGTTGTCAGAAGAAAACCTTGTATCTCCAAAATGCTAACTTTACAGGAAAAGGAAAAAACATACTTTAGATTTAATGTAAGTTAATGGAACTAGATTTTTTTCCAAATCATTTTGGGCCATTTCTTTTGGTCTATTCAAAAACTGTCAAAAACTGAAAAATGACAAAAATGGAGATATGCGGTTTTCTTTCGGCAGCAGCGATATATATGAAATAAATAACTATATGAACGATATACACACATATCACAAATATATCTATGAATATGATATATATATATAATATAAACATAGTATATATGGTGTTACATGTTACATACTGTTAGAGTAAGCAGTTATGTGTTGTATTCAACATACAGTGAACAGTCTTTTGTATGGAAATGCTAAGGATAACATACAACATACAAGTATAAGTATTAGGGGAGAGGTGTGGAGTTCAGCATACATATGTGTGAGCTTACTACTGTTGCATGAAATAAATAAATAAATAAATAAATAAATAAACAACTTTTTTGGTACTTGTGGTAAAAGAACCTCAACTATCAACTTGATTAAGTGCCACTGGGCACAGGTCTACTCTAGTTTATTACATCCATTCTAGACAAAAGATATGCTGTTAATTGAATGCTGTGTTATTTTCTTACCTTTTTAGCCTCCTTTTTTCTGTCATTCTAAAAAGAACAAAGAAGCAATGCTTTTGTTAAATAGTTCCCATTGATGCATCTGTTCAGTGTTGTTTTGACACATTTGCTAAATTCAAAAACATTAAAAATGAAAAGCTGCATGTGAAACGTAATGCAATGCTTAAACCAACATTAAGTCAATGCGTGAAGACGATGTTAATGACTGTGAAATGTTTTCCTGATATCTTTACTCTGATTGCTGCAGCATCACTATATCTACAGTATAAAGACTACAACAGAGTCTCATACTGATCCCACCAACACCTGATACTGTCCACGGCCACAGAGCCTACTGATTATTGATTTTGATGTATGCTACTGTCTTAATCCACTTTATTCTTAAGGCTTTATTTATAGCATGTTGTATCATGTATCCCAATTGATCATGCTCAAAGTCTACGTCTCACTACATCTGCAGACTGGTAGAGACAAGCTTTTCTCTGGAGCTAAGTTTTTCCACTGATAAGATAAGCTAGCTTTTCACTGAACACTCTGTACTCATAAACAATGTAGGGGTGGGCAATATGGCAAAACTCTAACTCTCAATACTTTCATGACACACAACATACATGACAGTATTTCTCTTTCTGAGGTTTGATATATCGATACAGACAAACACCCGCAGCATTCAATCCAATCCAACGTGCAGGTGGTCGGCGTTCTTTAGAGTTCCACAATATGCTCAGAAAAGCAACTGTGTCAACAATATAGTCATAATGCCCACCCCAGCACAAAGTCAACAAGGCTGAATAGAATAATACCATGTGCAGCTCTCCAATGTAGTACTGTTGGAGCATCTCTCTTGCATCTGTGGAATGGCCAACATCTTCAAAGCTCTCCGTTGCATCTGCGCCTGCTTGCTCCAGAAGCACTTCTTCACCTCCCGGATGCTGTGAAACAAAGAATCTTATGATTTAAGTTAGATCTTATCGCTAAATCAGTCAGTTGACTACTTTTTAAACCCTACAGAAGGAGCAGCTCCAGGTGTTAAAACCTTTTGGACTCGGTACAATCCAATATATCCAGTGTTTTTTTCCCTCCACTTGTCAATATATAATGGGGAATTCCACCATTTCAAAATTGCACAATTCATGTAACTGAGACATAAAGTCATTCAGCGTGTGTGAATTGTAGAAAAACTTACCAGCTCATATTTCTTTATACGGGTGATGATGGGAAACAGGGTTGTAATGTCAGAATACAGAACATACCTGTTTTATTTTTGATCCAAAATGACCAGTGAACCTACATGTGCCTGCCTTATGTTTTACATGTACTGCTGATTATGGTAAAAGTTGGGAAAAACAAGTTTTCCTTAAGTGTCTTTTAGAAAGTACATCTTAGGCCGAAACAACATACATGACAGTATTTCTCTTTCTGAGGTTTGATATAGAAAGTACTGTCTCAAAACTTGTCTAAACAATGTCCCAGGCTCTTTGGTCTAACAAGTTTGTGAGGTAGTCTGGTTCCTATAACTAATGCAGTGAAAAAGTTTTGACTCTAACTTTTCTTAGAATGGAGCATTTTATATCATACCTCTGAATGACTTTGTTTACTTCTTAATTATTTAATTATGTAGAAATTTTGGAAAATAGGTGAAATCGTCCTTTAACTACATAACCCATGGCAATTACACAACAAGTGTTGTAGTGCTGACATGAGCTTCTCTAACGATCTATAATTCCCTTAAGAATGTAGAAAACACTTCACTGCTATGTTACACAGGCCTCAAATCTTGGTTAGAAAGTAGGGCTATTTCAACAGCCTTTCACCAAAATATCAACTGGTACTAATTCCTGGCATTTAATTACAGTTACCAACAAACTACTCGAAGAGCCTGTCCACTAAACTGAACGTGTATGAGACAAACGTAATTTCGATAACGATCTAATGTACAAGTTCATGTATATGTTCATCTTTTAACCTCTTAAACTCCTTGAGACCACCGGTGGTTCCAAAACACACTTCGTCATATTCTTCATAACTTTAATATTTCATAAGCTACATTCAAAATGTAAAGATCTGCTCTTTCTCTCTTTAACCAAACTTGTCACAAGCAGATTCCTGACGGTTCAGATGCGGATTTTTTAGCGCAAGACGCTCCACCGTTCAAACACAGCCTTACAGAGCGCACTGCGTGTCCTCACGTAGTAGTGTGGTTTGTCAAAACATAGCACGGAAGAAAAGCTACAGATTACTGATCGTTGTTCTGCTTCAGAATCAACATTATCAGTTTTCTTTTCCAGTGGGCAAAGGTTACCATGTGATTCCATGGACAGCTTGCATTTGTTGTATGTGACTACTTTATCCTTCATTTTAATCTTTTTTAAATCCTTCAGACCACCGGTGGTTCCAAAACGCACTTCGTCATATTCTTTATAACTTTCATATTTCATAAGCTACATTCAAAAGGTGGGGGTCGTATGAGAGCTGTAACTGTCTTCTTTCCAGTCAGATAGATGGGTGATGTAATTTTAAACCCTTATAATAAAGGAAGCTGAACTCTCAATTTTTTTTTCTACTGAAAGTCGACCCATTTTTCCACAAATCTGAGCTTTAAACTATAAAAACAGCTGGCGTCTCTTCAGTGATCTGCTCTGTAAACATTATTTTTATAAAATAATACAAAGAGCGTCTAAGACTTTTGGCTTTCAGCAGTAAATTGTAAGCATACAGCAATATGTGTGATCATAAAACACATGTTCTGTTAATTTGAGGGGAGCTTTTACCAAAAAAATAAATAAATAAATAAATAAATAAAACAAAAATGTACATTTATTTCATGCAGTTAGTGAATAACTTGCCTTACGATTTGGTCAAATAGATTCAGATGGACAAACCAAAATATACCCTGGTCAATGAGTTCAAAGAAACACTGTTGTGCAGATTCACCTGGTAAGCTGACTGTCAATGTCAGACCAGCAATTAGCCATAATTAATAGCTTTGCTGGCAAAAACGTGATCCAGTTTGGTGGGATTTAACATTTACACCACAGTTAACCTAGCTACATTATGTATGACAGGATTAAGTAACCGGTCCTTAGGTAAAAGGCAGTTAAGCAACCAGTTCAACGTCCAGGCCGCGTTTCATAATGTCAGTTAACTACTCGCTCGTCCGTTCTATATAGACAGAACAGCTGGAAAGAACAGCTTAACAGTACCGGACCTCGGTCTAGTTGTGCTCCGCTTTTCATAAGCAAAGTTAGCTTAGCTTAGCTTAGCTTAGCGTAGGTACCCCCGTTATCGGCCACCTCAAAACAAAACATCGGGAATCTAAGCTAACTGTAAATAAATGAAAGCACTTTACTCACCCAAATCAATGTTTTTCGGGAGAGATATGTGTGTAGATTAATGTCCAAGAGTCACTTGACATGATGAGAAAACAGTTTTTTCAGTAATAACGTTTTTGTTTACTTTGACACTAGTATCGCTAGAACGACGGGGGTCAACCAATATCGGCCACCTCACCTCCGGTTTTCCGTAACTCATCTTTCAGCCTAAAATTCAGCGTATAAAGTTGTAAAAAAAAACAAAATATACGTATATATTCGTTAGTAAAATGTGACGTTATTGTACTGTTCATGATTCAGCTTGATTTGCTTGTTTAACTAAGGCCCTGTCCCATTTCACCCCTCGCCCCTACCACTTAGCCCTTACCCCTCTGTTTTGCGTGTTCACGCCTAGGGGTAAGGTGTCCCAATTTTAGTTGAGATGGAGGGGTAGGGCGAAGTGTTGGGCTACATGGCCCTCCAAACCGAGATTTTTCAGAGGCTCCAAACGGAGAGTTATCAGAAAAAAAGAAAAACCGGCAAGATGGCTGAACAAGAGACCAAACAAAACACACAAATGTGAGAATTTTATCCGTTAAAAAATTACAATAACTATCGTATTATCCTAGTTTAATGTTGTTTCAGTGTATTATGGTCGTTTTCTTAATAACAAGCATAAAAAATCGCTAATAGCATGCTAATGTTTCGGTAGCTATCTAGCTAACTTACCGTTCCACCTTAAATAGTCCGGCAGTATTGACGCCTGAAGTGCCAGAATGTAACTGCTGCACACTATTGCGCCATTTAAGGCGGAACGGGAAAATGTGAACAAGAAGCTGGCGAATAGCTGACTTCACCTCCGTATCACCAAAGAATTAGCGGTGGGCGAGAATAAATAACTGTTTTATTCCCCCTCTTTGAAGGCATAAGATGTCCTAAGTGTAACCAAAGCCCAGCAGCGAGGTTGCTGAACTTTTCCCTTCTCTGCGGTCACTGAAGACGGGCTGGCTCGCCTACAGAGCAGCGCTGGTAGCTGTTAACGAATCAGTGCATTTTTTTTTTTTAATTTGAAGGTTGTCCCATTTTGTAGGGCAAGATTTCAACCACTACCCCTTGTAACTCAGTTCAAAGGGGTTAGGGTTAAAAAGAAGAAATGGGACTGGGCCTAAGTATGGAGTACAGCTCTAACTGTGCCAGTCGAATGAGAAATCGCGTTTAGCGTCATTCCTACCAGACTCAATGCTTTACAATGGTTTACAGGTACTAAGCTAAGCTAAGCTAAGCTAAGCCACCCACAACAACCCAAAGTGATAGCCTAGCTAAGCTAAGCTAACTTTGCTTATGAAGAGTGGAGCACAAGACCGAACTCTGGTACTGTTAAGCTGTTCTGTCTATCTAGAACGGACGAGGGTTCAACATGATCGCCTTACCTCCTCTAGAAAACTCGTAATATCGTAAACTTTGTCGTGGATGATCAGCCATGTGTCTTTGCTCATGTTGTGAGCTTGAACCTCTTCCAGCGTGTAGTACTGAACATCGCTTTCCTCCTGGGCCGCCTCGGATACGTGATTTCCATCTCTGCCGCCCTTACTTGTGTCGTTGGTCTTGACCGATCTATCGGTTTCTTCCCCCATCCTGGCTCGGGTTCGGCGGCTTCTGCCCACTCAAGTCTACCCAGCTCCGGCTACCGTCGCTAGCGCCGCTGGCTGACTTCCACAGGCACGGAGTGGCTCGCTGGAACCTGCCGCGAGGAATCGTCCAATCGGATCACACAACGTCACTGCACGCTCAACAGTTGCCCCTGTGAGCAGGCAATAGAGAGGGTTTCTCTATCTAGTCTATCCAATCAGAAACAACAGCCGAGGATCATGAGACCCCAACAGACACGGACGTCATGAGTATTTTATGACCACCTCCTTGTTTCTAAACTCGCTGTCCATTTTATCAGCTCCGCTTACTATATAGGTGCACTTTGTAGTTCTACAGTTACAGACTGTAGTCCATCTGTTTCTCTGCATACTATTCCTCAGTGGTCAGGACCCCCATGGACCCTCACAGAGCAAGTACTATTTGGGTGGTAGGTCATTCTCAGTACTGCAGTAACACTGACGTGGTGGTGGTGCGTTAGTGTGTGTTGTGCTGGTCTGAGTGGATCAGACACAGAATAGTCCACCAACCAAAAATATCCAGCCAACAGTGTCCTGTGGGCAGCGTCCTGTGACCACTGATGAAGGACTAGAAGATGACCAACACAAACTGTGCAGCAGGAGATGAGCTATCGTCTCGGACTTTACATCTACAAGGTGGACTGACAAGGTAGGAGTGTCTAATAGAGTGGACAGTGAGTGGACACAGTGTTTAAAAACTCCAGCAGCACTGCTGTGTCTGATCCACTCGTACCAGCACAACACACACTAACACACCACCACCACCACATCAGTGTAACTGCAGTGCTGAGAATGATCCACCACCCAAATAGTACCTGCTCTGTGAGGTCCATGGGGGTCCTGACCACTGAAGAACAGGGTAAAAGTGGGCTAACAAAGTATGCAGAGAAACAGATGGACTACAGTCTGTAACTGTAGAACTACAAAGTGCACCTATATAGTAAGTGGAGCTGATAAAATGGACAATGAGTGTAGAACCAAGGAGGTGGTCATAACGTTATGCCTGATCGGTGTATTGCATAAATCTATTCATTTCATACTTGTGTGTATACTTGTGCAGTGTCCTGTAGTAAACCACAGCAGTTGTCCAAATTTACTATGGGGTTCTTGTAGTAATCCTCTAGACATTCCTGTAATATTATTATAGGTAATCGCTACTAGCTTGATGGCCCCCTGAGCCAAACGGCTCTGAGTAGTCAGGCCCAATGTGATGCCCCTGAGGAAACACGTACTATCCAACATGTCTGCTTTTGGTTCAGGCTACTTCAGTGACCTCCTTCAAATATGAAGTGTTTTTACACAAACATCTGTTGTAAGCTTTCTGTGGGGAACAGCAGCGATAACCCTCCTGCACGTAAATATTCACATATCTTCATGCTAAATTTAGTGGAGATAAAGAGAACTGATAGGCAGCAGCAGTAGGCTGTCTCTTACCCATGAGCAGTGGTGGACAGTAACGAAGTAAATGTAATCCGTTACTGTACTTAAGTAGTTTTTTGTGTATCTGTACTTTACTGAAGTATTTCCATTTTTGGTGACTTTTTCCTTTCACTCCACTACATTTCAAAGTCAAATATCTCACTTTTTACTCCACTACACTCTGCAAAACTCTATTGTTCCTTTTGGCTTATGTGTGCATAAAAACATGTCAAAACGAAAGAAGCACAAAGCAAGAATACCAATCAGGGAACAGCTCTCACTTTGTTTTGAGCTTGTTTTGACCTGTTGGTCATACCGACCAAGTGCAAGCATACAGTTCAACATCAGTGCAGCAGTGTAAAATTTTGGGAGTGTCTATTCAACATAAATGATGGAGGAAACTCCTGACTTTAACCAAACTTTGTGTAAATAGACCACAATATAGAAATATGTACACATATGCAGTTGAGACTGACGTGTCTTTTTTCTGAATTTATACAAACACTTTCATTTCATAGTAAATTTGTTTTGGCTAGTTTACGTTTATGAACAGAGATCTACAGATGCAATATAGTAAACTTATTATTATTAATATTACTATTAAACTTGTTTAAATTTAAACTAATTTTAATTTAAACTAAGTTGCAAATAAATCTTAAACTGAAACTTTGCTTGTTCAAAAGGTTACTGCAGAGCCACTCAGAAATTGTTTACCTTGTTTGCCTTCAGTGTTTTGTGCTTATGATAATTCTAATAGTCATCAGCATCACTAATTAATGACATTCTATTAAAATATTGGTGTATCAAGAGTGACACTGGAGTATTCTCACCTAAAATGAGTTGATAAAGCAAGAGTCTTGTTACAAAAATGATAATAGGACATCAGAGCCATAATTAATCTTTTAGTACTTTCACTGTTGATACTTAAGTACATTTGAAGGCAAATACTTTTGTACGTTTACTCAAGGGGAGGTCTAAAGGGAGGAACTTCTACTTTTACTGGAGTAATATTTTACCTTGGGTATCTTTACTTTAAAAAGTACATGGTTTGTGTACTTCGTCCACCACTGCCTATGAGTAAAAACACGGTCTAAGTTCTACCAATAGAATCACGGTCTAAGCTCTACCAATAGAATTGCAAAGTATTGTGACATTCCAAAAAGTGACAGGAGATGGCGCTGTGCACACACTGTTCAAGTATAGACATTCAATTGGAAATAAGCAGGTCTAGGCGCTGCACTGCAGGCCTGTATTTGCCATTTACAACTGATGTAAAGTTAGATTTCCAAAACCTTCTGTCCAAATTAGGACAATACATTTTAGCATGAGCAAGTGGGTTGGACCTAAATGGGAATACAGATGTAAACAAAGTCATTCAGTGTGGCCTGATGTGAAACGCTCCGTTCCAGAGGAACTTAGAGAGTAAGAATTGTTCACAGTGGTGCTAATAGGAACCAGATGTCTGAAGAGTTTAACGTCCGTTAAAGCTCCCTCTCAGAAAGTTATCACATGAAATGGTTACACATACGGGTCATTCTACAGAAACGCCCATTTTTGTGTCCTTAGCGTTTATAGATATATTACACTTAAAAAACATTTTAGGGTTACAATTTATTTATATTTTTTAAATAAAACAATAAGTTATTTTAACAATTAGACCTTCTTGAGCCTCAATTTAGCAATATTAGTTTTTAAATCAGATATCTAGAATTCCAAGCACCACAGAAGGGCTCGTCCCCACAGTCATGTGTAAAGGCTGAGACCATATTTTGAAGAAAAAAAAAACCAGGTTTTTCTGCAATTTTAACTACAATAAACTAAACATGACTATGGAATATATAAATTAAATGATATAAAGAAAACAGATGCCAAATAAATATTATAAAATATATAATGAAAGTTGTTGTCCCCAGGAGTCGTTTTACTGGTGTTACTGCGTAACAAAAAATCTCTTATTGTGAAATAAAAGTCACACTGATGACATCACTCGACTTCCTTTTACCTGTTTTCTGAGGATCTATGAAGAAAAGCATATGGTGAGTCCACTGTGTCTTTCAGTTATCAGAGATTTTCTCATTTAGCTCATGATTTCATATGAAGCTTTTAGCTGAAGTCACTGGTGTGACCGACTTTATTCTTAGGTAATTGTGAAAAAAATAGAATACAAATGGATTAAATTACATATTTTAGTGGATATTCCATGATTGACAGCATGTGGTTTGATGCTCTGTACCCATTTTGTAAAATGCATTTTTCATTAAAAGTGTCTCTGGTGTTCCTTTATTATGAGGAACACCAATGAGTATCGGTAACACCAGTGACTCCTATGGACAGATAGAAAAGTGGATGTTCTGCAGAATGACCCATACGCTAAAGCCTGAGACATTGTTTTATGACAGTTTTACACAAGGTTATGGCCTAAAATGCAAATGTTCATGGTGAGAGGTAGAAGCAGGGTGTGTTAAGGCACATTGTCCTCAAAGATTACATTACAAAACTCAGAAGACTTGTGTAGGTTCACTGGTGGTTTTGTCTAGTAATTAAAATGGCTATACATTCGTTGTAGACATTGGGACCCCTGGTTCCTATCACCACTTCTATAAAGGAATCAGAGTCGGTAAGTTTCTTCACAAAAACAGTTCACATTAAACTGCTCTGAATGACTTTGTTTGCATCTCAACAAGTGAGTTATCCAGAAATTCTGAAAAATGGGAAAAAAGTGTTTAGTCAGAAATATGACTACAGTATTTTAAACTGCTTGTGTTTCTACTGGTCACCAAGAGCAAAAGGATGTGATAGGCTAACAGGGCTAAGTCCAAGCTTTTTCTCTGTGGCACTACTTACGTTGCTACTACATTTATACAATTTGGTGCCAAACGAAAGGAAAAACCTGAATAAATGAGGAAAGATGCTTTGCAAGTGCTGATGCTTCCAGACAGGTGTACAGCTTGACACAACTAAGCAATTAACATCCTGCAGTGCTCTGAGGCACATCTGGCAATACTGGGGCAGGAATGGGATGAGCTTCAGTCACAAAGACTGCTGAACTGGCGTTTAGATCATCAGTAAACACGGTTAAAATCGTACATTCACTGACTTTGATGCTCATGCATTAGTGCGATATTTAAGGGAAAACAGAAGAGCAACTGTTCCTCAGGTGAGAATGTCACTGCAGGACGTGATCAGACTGTGTTGGCCAGAACGGTCCATTTATGACTACACAGAGAGGGATATTATAGCAGGGTTGCAGTACATAAACTCTATCATTACCCTCAGTGGTCTAAAATCCAGACACTGATCTACAGGGATGTGGAAAACAGTGATACGGTCAGATGAGTCTCTACAAGTGGGCGAGTGCATGTGTGACATACATCAAAATAGCGGCACAGACCTGAATGCTTGACCCCTACAGTGAAGGGCTCTAGTGTCTCTGTATTCTCTGGGGGTCATTTTGCTGGCATGATTCGAGTCCACTTGTCACTGCAAATCAATACAAAGTTATTTTGACTGATGAAACATTTCTGTCTTGATGGTAGTGGTCTCTTCCAGGATTCCAGGAGTGCCCCCATTCACAGGGCACATGGGGTCACTGAATGGTTTTGAGTATGAAAATGGTGGAAGTCATATTCAAAGGCCTTCACAGTC